GCGCAACTGTTGTGATGCATGAAAATATTGCCATTGGGCGTGTTTTGACACAAGAGGATTGGACAAGACCGACAGATTTGCGCCTTCTGATTAGTTCAATATGGGAAGATTCAGAGATTCAGTCTAGAAGCACTTGGAATACAAGTTGATGGGATTTGGGGATACATGCTAATCTCATCTACAGTAATCTCTAGGTTCAAGCTCAATATAAATCTTTCAGACACCTGCATGGCACACTGCGTGACGGTTTGTGAGGTGCCCACGGTGAGTCTGCGGGTTTCGGTGCTGCTGTAGCTGCTTTAGTCGGCCGGTTCACGGTTGATGAGGCGGGTCGACAGTCAGTGCTCCACTCCACTATCCGACTACCGTAAGCTGAGACCTGGCCTGACATGCATGGCTTATCAATCAGAATATGTGTGGCAACGCTGCTAGAATGGAGTTTAGACGTACCAGGTCGTAGCATCCAGGTTTGCATTGAGTTCATGTGGTAGACCGTGAGCCCAGGAAGCCTGATGCCTGAAAAAGGGGTGTCCCACCGCCCGCCCGCCCGCCTGCACTTTTATGATAGAATTCCGAACGCATGACTGCATGCAAGGTGCTCGAACAGGCACGCTACAGCTTCTACACCGTGTCATGGCTGCGGTCGAAGCAGACGTGTTTTCAGTGTTTTGCGGACAGTAGGATGCGATCATTTCACATTTCAAACACCGTGGCCCCGCATACTTTGCTGCATCACGTGCTCCCCACCATAAATCATCAAAGTGATGCCAGTGAGGTCAAAGCTGATCGCTTGAAGATGGAGCACATCATCAGCAGCCAACCAACTCCAGAGCCCATGTCTTAGATGCGCTTTGAATCCGTCTTTGCAACGAAGTCGGAGAGCTGGGTACGGTGAATGTCAACCAAACGATTGCGTCTTTGGCTAAGAGTCCAAAGACGCGTCTCCTGTGCTCTTGTTAGTACTCAGGGGCCTTGAGAGAAGCAAAAGGGATCTTTCCGTGTGAAAAACAAGGAGCAAGCTCCCTATTCCAGGCCAAGAAACCACATGGGCTTGCTGACGCTAAGGCTGAAGCTGGGGCAGCTCGCGCGGCGTACACGGCTGGGGGAGGCGGATGCCTTTATTAGCCATAGTTGGTCAGACGATCCCTTGGCCAAGTGGCCACTGGACGGCAGGCGGTGAGATAGTGAGAGATTGGGGTTGAAAAGGACAGGTTCATGAAGTTCAGTGCGATCCCTTCCCTTCACTTCCTTTAGAAGCCTTTGTTACTAGTAGCTTCTTGTATTAGTAGTAATGGCCTCCAACCTACTAGCAATGGCCTCCAACCTTTATATAAGCCTTCAAAGAACGCACAAACAATGGAGACTGGATGGCCAGAGTGGCCCTCAACTACAACGGAGATAGAAGCAACACGATCCCAGGACGTCAAGTACTGTTTGCAAGGGCTTGCCTTACATTGTTTGACAGTCAGTTGTCCGTTTCAACAAGACCTTGGAGACGCACTGAGGAATGCCATCCAAGCCTTCCGGAAACGTTTTAAGAACCAGCACAAGGTGGAACCAAAGCTGTGGATTGACAAGTACTGCAGCTTGGAAAAACAATCAGTCACGGGCCAGGACTCAATTGTCATTTCACAAATTGCACCGGCCACTTCGGCTTGTCTCGCGCTTCGAGAACCCAGATCTCTGAGGCATTGATCAGAGCGATTTCCAGAACTCCTTGGCCACTGGACTTACAGAATTGCATTCAAGTAGAATTTGAAAGTGATTTTTTTGAATTCTTACTGTTTGCTTGCTCCAACTCCAAATCCGCGAAGTGAAGACGAAGACTGTGAACATGTGTCTGGTGGAAAAACTCCAAGTGCTGGGTCGTTCTGACAGGTAGGCGGAATACTTCGTGACGTACCGTGACGTCCGACACGAGTCGCTCGAGTCGCACGAGTCGCACGAGGCATGTTTGCCGATTTATTTGGCCTCTTGCAGCAAAATGGTGGTGATTTGTGGCGAAAGCTACCTCACCAGGCGGGAAAGATGGGAATCGTCATGTGTAAGGACAGATCCGCAAGCACAAACTTCGTTTGGGTCCCTTGGTTTGCTCATGTCGAAGCCTTTGAGACTTACATGAAGAGGTACAAATGTATGATAATGTATGGAGTTTTACAGCAAGAGTTATGACATGCAAATGTGGAGACTCAATGTGGCTCCTGAAGGCTGTGGTGTGTCGTGGAGCTCTTTGTATTTTTGGAGATGGGTGGATCTCCAGAGAATTTGGAGCTTTGGCAGATCGATGGTTGGGGTGTTCACTGATCGTATCTGATCATCGATCGAAGATGATCAAAGACAAAAACCACATGCTTTGTTAATACTATTAATACAGTGGTGAAGTCCATGTCTGGGTATAGATTAGGATTACAGAACAACTCTTCGCAGCAATGTCAATGAGTTTGTTTCTTTCTGACGACCGATAATAGGGTAGATGTTCAGGGCACCAATGCATTTTGTTCAAGTTCAAGATGTTGTTGCCCTATGTCGTGTTGGATCAATACGCCCACTGACAGCACCACCGGATATTGATATTGTTTGTCCACAAGATTTGCCCAGTTTGTTGCCTTTGAGAGGCGTTTCACTGCCAAGGAGGTGATCATGTTGCCAGATCCCGGGTGCATCGTGGAACAGATTCAGAACTTCCAGCCCTGGAACCTCCATTGTTCAAAAAACCAACGTCGCAGAAGCTTGGCAGCTAATATACAAGTTTGGTCAACATCGAGTGAAGACTTGGGAACTGCGCAACGGGTCCGAGGAAGCTAGGAATCCTGACTCCCCCTTTACCTTTCATGTGCATTATATTTTAGTGTGATCTTTACGCCGTCTGAAAGTGTCTTGTCCCATAAGAAGATCTGGGCTTTGTGTGGTTTGAAGCGCGTTGTTTTAATCTTCTTCGACATAGGCGCGGACAATTCGAATCAACGTTGATCATAAGTGTAATTAAATGTCCCAAGCTTTGTCTTACCTCACAGCCTGTGATGCTTCACACTCTTTCAGGAGGAAGACCTCCTGCAGAGCGTTTTGGAAGCAGGCAGTAGTGGCTTTGATGGGATCCGCAAATTGGTTTGGGAACGCTTCAATCCGCAGGCCTGGATTTGGAAACACTCATCCGCTGCAGAGCCTAACTTTTTGGCTTGGGTTCACAGAGGGCGATCTCTCCCAAAGATTGTACATCTGAATGAACACGCTGTAGTCATGAAGTTTATCTTATGGCATTATCATTGCAAATCATGAGTTTTGAAAGGCTTGATTTGTCTATTGTTGAACTGTCAACTACCGACTTTGTAAAGTTGCTTCCATCCTACGGTGCGTTTTAAACCGAATTGGTTTGGGATGAAAATGGATGAAATATGAACGACCCGAAAGTGTTCTTGGCTGTTGGACCCGAAAGTGTTTGAGACACTCTTGCAGAAAGTGCAGTGGGTGGAAGGAACTGCTTGGAGAAACTGTTCCAGAAAGATCTCCTTTGCTTTATAGCAAAAACAGCGAAGGTGTGAATTATTTGAAGGATTTTGACCCTGAATCTAGTCAATGTCAGGCGCGGCATGAGGAGCAGCGGGAACGGTACCAGCACGAGAAGTCTGCATCTTCTCACGTCTCCGACATCTCCCAAAGAGAGGAGAAGAGAGAGGAGAAGACGTCCGAGGCAACGAAATTGTTGTTTCTATCTTTTTTTCCGAAGGGCCTTGAAGTGTTTTATTCGGAAAAGAATGATCTCGAAAGGAACTCTATCGCATGGAGCTTTTGTCAAACGCTTGACACTAGGATTCTATGTTTAGAGGATGTGCCAAGCAACTACTTAGCAGCCAAGGCTTCGACTACACTTGGGTAGTTCCAACTAGCATTCCATTTGTGAGTTACAGCCGACATTGCTCGGAGAAACGACATTGTTTGTGCTGCGTGATTTGCATCCGGAAGGTTGGGTCATTCTTTTCCATTTGACGCGATTGTTTCAAGGACGGGCGTTACTTGAGTGTGCGAAGCGTAGAACGAAAGAATAATCGAAGAGGACGTTCGTGCCGACACGGAGAGGAAGAATAAGGAAGGGACATGGTAGACTCAGTAGACCATATTGTTAGTTTAGGAACAACTTTATCTGGTAGAGAAACAAGAAGGGGAATAATCGTACTTTCAGGAACCTCATAGTAGGATCCATCTACTTGTATGCATCGTTGAAAAGGATGCAGCTATGAGAGTCTCACATCCTGACATGTTCAATCCCATCACTGTGACATTGATGCCATATTATTGATGAGCTCATTTCGACTAGGAATCAATACTGTGCTCAATCGATGCTTCAGTGAGACCAGACCAATTGAGCTGAACGCCACTGGGAACTGGAGTTGCCCAGATTGCACGGGCAGTTGTTGCCAGAAACCCAAAGGAAACAAAAGTAGTTTTTGCTTGAAGATGATGTTTTGATTCTGCGGATGTCAAGAGTCGATCAACCGATGGTTGGCTCCTTTCATTAAAAAGGTTGGCAACAATTCACGCCTGGGGTTTTAGAAAGACAAGGATGCGGCAAAGTGGAGGGTGCATTGACAGTTTTTCAACCGCGCCAAAGGCAAGTTTCCACTGTCAATGCCAAAAGACTCCCTGGGGTACTCTGATGCTGCAGTAACGACCTTTCTCATCGAGTTGCAGAACAAACAACGACAACAACAACAACTACTACTACTACTAACAGTCATGTGTTTTTGCATTGGCCCAATTTCCAAACTAGTATACTAGGATAGACTAGGCGGTGAAGAATTGCAGCATCAAAAGACTCAAGACCCCAAGAGGAGAGTTCTTTGGATGCAGGCTTCTGCAGCAGACCGATAACTGCAGGAAAAAGTGGGAGACACCAAATCTGCACCCAGGTCATACCTGGCTTACAACCTATATAAGAATAGAAATGAAAGCGCGGCTCTTCACTTCGAATGTTTCACCTGACTGTGACGTCTTTCCCTTTTCAGGTTTGAGCATCCAGTGGCCTTGGAAACTTGGACGGAAATGCTTTCCACGGTCGTCTACCAACGTGGGAAAACCTGGTACCCGAGGAGATGTGGTGCCTCTCAGTGATTGCCACATTGGCTCCAGACTCAGTGTGTTGAGAGTCGGTTCTTTTCTTTTAAAAGGGGAGGTAGGCCGTAGTAGTAGGCTTAAGTAGCTAGACTAAGAAAGTTAGTTAAGCTAAGCGCTAGTTAGTGAGTAAGAGTAAGAGTAATAGTAACAGTAAGTAGAAAGCTCAAGTAGCTACTAGCCTCCGGAGCTTCCTTGGAAGAAGCGCTCGCACCATTCATGTGTTGCCTAGATTTTTAGGGAAACTAGTGCACATTAGCGAACTAGTAACAAGAAGCTACTAGGGGCTCCTGGCCTTACTACTAGGAGCAAGGACGCTACTAGGGGCTCCTGGCATCGCTTCTGGGAGGATTCTTACTACTAGTAACAAGAAGCTATTAGGAACAAGTGCATCGCTTCTAGTAACAAGTGCCTTACTAGTAGTAACAAGAAGCTTCTAGGGGCTTCTGTCACTTGTTCAGGTCATGTTGCCCCTGGTGCTTTGCTCAAGGCGGTCAGCTCCTCCTGAAGGATACCGACGTCTTGCAGGTGCAGAGTTGTCTCCTGTTTTGGAATTCTGGCAGAATGCGTTAGGTGAAATGTAGCAAGGTTGCATACTATGGCATGTATTAATAAAGAAGAAGCCTCGCCTCGTTCTTCGACTGTGAGGTGATGCTCGGTGAAGTTTCGAGACACAGCCGTGAGAGCTGGAATTTGGCTCCTTGAGACAGTCCAAAGACATGGTTTGTTACGGTTTGTCAGTTCTGACAGATAGCTCGACGGAGAAGTTCGGACAGTCAATTCGGTTCTACCATTTCGTTTCAGAAACCGCGCGTCGGGTGTTTCTCTCTTCGCCCACAAGGTGGCCGAAGTCTCGACGAAAGAGAAAAAGAGACGAGTCGTCTCGACGTTTGTCTTGCCTTCGCCTTTGTCTCCTTACGTGATTCGTGAGAAACTGTAGAAACAGAAAAGGTGCGAAACTCTTGTTGGAACCGAATTCAATGTTCTGCCAGGACAGCAAATGAATCTCCCAGATGGGGACTGGAATGTGTCAGGAGAGGCAGAATCTTTGTAGCGGCTTGGCATGCTGCGCTTGACAGAGAAAGATCAAACCTTCAGAGCAAATTCTTTTGTGAATGCCATCTATTCTCACCCTTTAGGTGAGTCCAAGTCTTGTTGAGCCAAAAAGAAGGTTGGCCAAAAGACATGACCACTAGAACTAGAAGATCCAAGATTCGCCTTTTGCCGCCAAAAGCTGGGCTCCTCGAAACTACCTCAATACTTTTCCGCCAATTATGACCCCTTTGGCATTGAGGTTGAGCATCTCGGAGGTTCAAGCCATCCTGAGATCATGCGCGGAAAAAGTGCGTTGTTTGCACGCTTTGCTGAAGGGTCATCATGGCTTGGGTGTCCAAGAACGAAGAACCGCTTGCTGCTCGAGTGCAAGACCAGGTTCGACCATGCATTTTACAGGCAGCAAACAGCAGTTGGCTTTAAGCATCCAATGTTTAAGAGTATTCCGCCCAATGCCCCACTACAGCCAACTTAACAAATTGCATCAACAACAACAACAACAACATCAACAGCAGCAACAAGCTTAACGTCAAGTGATTTGCTTTGGGTGTGTACGCTTACCAAGCTGCGGATTCCTGTGCAAATCTATTCCAGCAGCAATGCGTGATACCAAGCGCCATGCTTTCTGCAGAAGCGTCCTTTTCTTCAGCTCCACTGCGTAGCTGCCCTAGCACCATCTGAAATTCTGAATTTGGTAGACAACAAAGGTTTGCAGGAATGCTGCAGGATAACCAGAACTAGCTCGCGAAGACAAGAAGTTCTCACCATGTCCTCTCAACTTGTCAGGCTTCTCCAAGAAACCCAGCAGGTGGATGGAAATACTATGTGGAAAAGACAACAATCAGCGAATAGGAATCGTCGGTTCCTACGAACTTACGCGGTATGTTTTTGCTATTTTTATCCACTCAGACGTGTTCCTTTGCGCCGCCAAGCCACTTCGATCGCCCAAGGCTCCTTTGTGGGCTCGAGGCCCCTTTGACCACAGCGGCCATGGCCCCAGGAAAATAGAGATACAGACTCGAACAAAAGACCTCATAAAACTTGATCATTTCAATGGCAAAGGAAGAACTTAACTTGAAGTTGAATGCTTGGCCAAGTTCGATCAATGCAGGGGAGAACGTGCGTTGTATCGACAAACCACCACAAATCATTGAAATAGGTCGTTTGCTAATCGCCCGTGAACGGTCCGTCCTGAAACACAAATCATTACCACCGAATCACCTGTGAGACGAGCGTCTTGGAGACAAAACTGGGTGTACTGTCTGATCCGTGGCCCAGTGAAGCGGTAAAGGTACCTGCCCAGTCGGATAACCTTTGACCTGTGTAAAAACGAACTGGGAAACTTAGGGAGCCAGGGTAAATGGCCTCCGTCTTTGGTTCCCAATATCAAACATGTGCAGTGATAGCGCACTATTTGTTGAAAACTAAACATGTTTGTATGAGCCAAGTTTCTTTCATAACAACTTCAAGATGGCGCTGAAGTGTTGACAGCATGTGGATTAGAAAGTGATGGGAGCGTATGTTCAAACGATCAAATTAAACTTGTTCTTAACCAGCTCGGACACGTTAAACTGCGGTTTTATTTGTTCGGGCTTGTAGGGAGAGGATTTTTTGATCAAAAGTATGTTTGATCAGCTTCTTGTGACCGGAGCTGCAAGTGTTGTTTCGAGTGCCTCAGTCTGCGAGCGCCGGCAATGAAGCCGTGTTGGCGGGCGCAATGCCTAGAGTGGCCGGCTCAGTGCCAGCCGGCCTGGGCTGGCTTAAACGGCTTAGTTGTGCTGGGTCTCAATGTTTTGTAGAAATGGATGAAATGGTGGAGGACTCCGATCAAGTTCGTTGATCACTTAGTTGGCATCCCGAACTGTCCAAGGTATTTGCTGCTGGACGATACATTGATAGAGCTGGGCTAAGCTTTGAAGGTTAGTCGATGCATCATGATGTATCATGATGTGTCCACGTTCAACTACTGTATGTTTATTATGTGTTTGCTTTTGCTTGTATATCGCTTGCTGAAACCGGACCCGGAGTTGAGGCCGTTCACAACAACATCCAGGCTGGTAGTCGGTGTCACCATAGGGATTGAAGCTTGCTAGATCTTGTGAGACTCCAGGGCGACCTGCACGACTCTGTCTTTGCATCTGCCTTGACTAGAACTAATTGGTTTGGGATGTGAGCTGGTCAATTGCTGCCTTAAGCCTTTAAAGATTTGCCTTCGAATTCGTTCAATGAGAAGTACATGTTTACATGATTTGACGTTTAAAGATTATGATTACACATGTTTACATGTTTACGTAGCATGTATTGATGTGCTTTGATGCACAGCTTGCACCGCATCTAGAGGCCGAATTCGGCCTGACCTCAGTGGCACTTGGCGGATGGAGCGGGCGGAGAACCTTAGTGGTGGCCTTCTTGGTACACACTGCACTCGGCGATACACTTTTTCCAATGTCGTGCCAACTCAAGCGGCTTGTAGGTTTCATGCAAGCCATCGGCTACAACTTTATTTTGGCCAAGGCCAGATGGCACTTCCTTCTCAAATCTCTTGTGATTGCTTGTGATTGCTTGTGATTGCTTCAGCAGCTCCTTTTCCACATGGCGAGTATTAAGTACCATGGGCACAGCATATTGGATAAGGAATCTAAGTCCGTCCTCTCAAGTCTCATCATGTGTCCATTGTTCTGGTGACAAAGGCGGCTTCCTTTGCGCGTGTCACACAGCTGCAGTGGCAGTGGTCAGACAGCAAGTCAATTCGGCAGTAACATTTAAGGTCACTCAGACCATTGAGCAGAAGGAGGACCGACATGCAGAGCTGCTGCCTACTAGTCATACCTGTCTCAAATCCAATCAAGCAACCGTTTCTACCAGAGGTCATATGAGCGATTGTGCTTGAGCGATTTGTTGAGAAGATGGTCAGACAAAATGCAGCCACTCCGGCATTCGGCAGTGGGTCGAATCTATCTCAGTTCTTTTTCTCACCTCATTCAGGATGAACTGCACTTCGTGTTTGAGGTCAACCCACCTCTCTTGGCACCAAGGCTTCGCTGCAGACTGCTGTCGGCCACAAAACAAAGAGTGAACGATGAGAATGCAGCGCAATGTGAAAACCAGTCCCAAAGCTGGTGCCAAGTGGTGCTTAATTTGCTTTCAATATCTCACTGTTAAAGTCACCATTCCAAGTTGCGTTGTGCCAGGCGTGAGTCTGTGGTGCCTGTGGGCGCTGCTGAAGTTTCCATGAGCCGCACGACTCACACACTGAATGGGCCCAATGAGTCGGCTTGAAAGTGCCATTTCACTCGTTTGACACACTTCAGAAGAACTTTATGAACCTTTCTTTCCAAAGAGTTGGCATTCAAGTTTTAATCCTTCGATTGGATAGAGCCAAGAATTCTGAAGCTTTGTACAAGCTCAGGTGATGATGCTGGCCGCGAGATGCTCTTGCTCCATCCAAGATGGGACGGGGAGGTGCAATAAAGGGAATAACGAAAGAATGTTTGATATCTCAGGCAGTTCAGTGAATGTGAAGAATGCAGCGGATGAAGGTATTCAAAGCTGGACTTCGATACCTCAATCCACCTCACGAGCTTACGATTGACCGCTATTTGGAGGACACAAGACTTGAGACGGATAGGTTGAGAATCGTTTTTCTAGTAGTTTTCGCAGATTCTAGAACGGCATCAGTCTAGGACGGTCGGATGGTAGAACACGTGCGCTATCCAGGCTGTGGAAAATGTGTTGAAAGGCTTTGCTTTCTTGCCATATTTTGTGACTTTGTTTTGGTGTGCTTTGCAATTGTAGAAAGCTCATGTGTTAAGATCCGTCTTTTTGCAGCGCCAGGCCGCAACATTGAAATGCGGCGCGTCTTTCAAAAAGAATTGTGAGTTTTCACTGTTTTCAGTCAAGTCTGAAAACTGTGAAAGTTTGGCAGTCGCCAGTTAGCTTTAGTGCAGACGCCTTTTCAATTCCTTTTTCCAGAAGTGTTATTCTTGCAAGAGGAAGGCTGGAATGCAAAGGATGGCGCCACATAATTATTGATAATGAATGACAATGACTTGCGACCACAATCCTGTAGGGGTACCATTTGTTGATCCAGCATGGTACCTTTAGCCGCCTCTACCTCTCAAAATTCAGTCTGTACAATTTGCTGGTGTGCCTTTGACCTTGGTCGACTGGCTTAGCGCCTATTCGTTGGGTCAGAGCACAAATCGACACTTTTTAATCCCTTGTTTCCTGGACAGAAACTGGTCAGGTGGAGCAGTTCCCTGTGCAAACAAATATTTATATAAGGCAGCAATTGGGGATGACTCGCCATCAATCAAGTCTAGTGTCTCAAAGAGCAAAATTCCAACCAACCATCCTGACTGATGGATTTCCAAACTTTGAAGACTTAGCAGGCAGTGTCACTGATTTGACAAGTCAGTGAGATTCAGTGAGTATGTGGCAAAAGCAGACACTCATTTGAGTCCTGCGGGAATGTGTGGGTTTCCGCAGCACTTGGGTTTCTGATGAGACAAATTGCGCCGAGTCACTGCTTTGTAACATCACGGTTTTGTTCAGGTGTTGCTTTCGTTGTGCAATTTGTAGAAATCGCTGCAATGGACAGTTCACTGCGATTTTAAGATTTCTTGCTCCGTCGAATTTTCCCACGTCGACCAAGATGGAACCGCACCCGCCAAGTAAGAGCTGTTGCTTCGTTTCGAGGTCTATCTTGGTTGGCCGCAAAGGATGGACAAGTTCATCAATGTGCTTTCAACTTCGAATTGGTCAGACAAGTCCGACTAGTTACCCAATCCTGCCTTGGTTGAACTTGGCAGTTTCCCATCCTACCTGGGTCCTGTCCCATGCATTTTCGTATCAGTCAAGCGATGCCAACAATTCTGCTTAGAAAAAGGGCGTTGGCTTTGACAGCTGTGTGTTTGTGGAGGTGTGTGAGCGCCCGGGGCAGGGTACAAAATAATGTCAGTTTGATGAAGGCACCCTCAGACGAAGTCATGCACGTACTATTGAGACGAAGTAATCTTCGGACATTTCTGGGTCTTCAGCATTCTGGCGGCATAGGTAGACTGCCGAAGCTATGTGTAGACCTTTGTAGACTTCAGAAACGTCATAGACTTCACCTAGGGTTTTGCACGGGTGACCTAGGTCCCACAATCGACGGTATTTGGCTAATTGAGTGCGACGGTCTGCGATGTGAACCCGCCTTGCCCTGTCGAGGTAGTGCGTGTTGGAGTGAAGTGTCCGTCGACGAGAAAGGAACGTAAAAAGATTGTAGCACTCTGAAAGCGAAATCAAAACAGCGATCCAAAGCGAAAGCTGAAAGTTGAAAGGAAAACCTCTAGCTAGCACTTTACTGGTGAGATGGAGCTTTCTTGGAGCCACTGCGGAAAAGGAAGTATTTCTTTATGAGTCTTTATGCGAGATGAACCCAGTAGGTGTTGACCCTATGTTTTCTTTACTGATACCATAGTTTTGAGTTCGTTTGAGAGAATGCACCTGGTTTGGACGGGTATGTGTTCAAAGAATATGTGCGACCTGCCTTTCTTGCCCAAAGGTGTTTAGTGGCCAGTGCACAAGCAACGAAATCGCCAAGCAATCATAGTCCTTCAGGTTTGCGCCTTCAGTTTGCATGTCTAGCATTGGACATTTAACCTCATTGGCATTTAAATCAGGTAGGTATAGAAGTATAGACAGTCAGATGCTTCCTACATTGAATAATGGAACAGCAGCTTGGATTGATGATCAGAGCTGGGACAGCTTAGAAGACGGCGCAAATGACCAGTACCAAGGTGCACCTTTGACAATTTGACAGCTCAGTGATATGTTATACAGTGACACTTGTCTTGAATCCATATATAGGGAGGTGAACAGTTACAGAAGACGTAGATAAGTGCATTTGGGCCGCAGGCCCTTTACAGATGATCAATGTGTGTATGGGTTACTGTATATGGGCAGCTTGCTGTAGTAGACAATTACAGCTCCACACTGTGGTTTCTAGAGGTTTTGGAGCAAGACCTTGATTGCTTTGTCAAGTGTTGATGTTTATATAAGCCAGAATCAACACCGGAAATTCATTTCTTGATGTATGTTCATGGAGAGTTGAGTGTGCTGATTGCATTTGTGCGTTTCAACGTGAACAGATGGAAGCAGGTCGTGCCAATAGAAGATGACGATGATGACGATGATGAAGAAGAAGACGAGCAAGATGTGAAGGGCTAAAGACTAATTTCTGCCACACTTGTCCGGTGACGGTATTGCACATGTCGTGTTTGGTACCTGGCAAGGAAAGAAAAAAAAGGTTCCAAAGAGAAGGAAGAACGAATTGGCACAAAAGCACCCAGTGAGTCGTCCTCCAGTTCTGCCGATGGATTCGGGTGCCGCTCCGCACTGCTTCTCGACTATCGTTGGACGGGTGATACTGTTGAACAGTACAGTATCACTGCCAGAGAGTTTCGTTTTGAAATCGTTTGGGAATGGAATAGATTTAGGATTTAATCCAACAAGGACGCTACTAGGGGCTCCTGGCATCGCTACAAGGAAGAAGAAGCTACTAGGGGCTCCTGGCCTTACTGCGGGCAAGGACGCTACTACGGGCTGGTCTTGCTAGGAGCAAGTAGCGACTAGCACCGTTTTGTCTTGCATTGTTTTGTGCCAGGGAGTCTCCAGAGTCGGACCGGGAAGAAACTGCAGGTGACGGAGTCGCGACGAATGAGAAACGATCGTCATCGCTACTAGTAGCAGGAAGCTACTAGGTTGGAGGCCATCGCTAATAGGTTGGAGGCCTTTACTGCTAGTAGCAGGAAGCTACTAGGTTGGAG